TAAAATCAATACATTCATCACTCATTCACTCCGGTCAGAATCTAAAATTGGGTCATTTTGGAACATGGGCGTCCACAGACAAATACATGTCAAGAAACAAAAAATATATACGATAGGAACACACATTAAAGATTTCAATCTAAAATGTAAAAATKTATAACCTGCAAATAATATTCATAATTATATTAGTTGATTTAAGAATGAATATTTAGAGGGCGTCATCAGGTTAGAATTTTATCAAAGTTTAAAATATATTTATAAACAGATTTTAATTAATAAAAAATAAAAATTGGAAGGGTATATCATGTTATAATATTGTGGTAAATCCATATCTGACTATCTGAGTACTACTCATAATATAATAATATAATATAATATAAATATAATCTTTATATTATCTGTGGTAATGTTAATTTACTCGTAATATTTTCTCTTAGAGAAATCTATATGATAAGAATATCAGATGTAATCTGATTTTTGATTTTGCAGTTGTGTCTTGCGTGTCAAATTCAACCATATATAAACTAATCCATAAATTTATGAATTTAATAATGCATTCTCCCGCTGGTTCCTCTAGACCAGCGGTTCCCAACCTGGGGGGCGTATACACATCGCTGGGGAGGCGCAAGCAGAAAATAAAAAAATGTATTCTAAAAATGTAGCGCAAGTGTCTATGGATTATATTTAAAAGACATTTTTTAAAATATTGATTAGAACAAAAGTTATTTCACTTGTCAGATGTTAGATCTCTTTGGGACAGTGGGACACCCTGTATTGAACAATAAGGGCTTAGAAAAAATTTTCTTTTTACACTATAGTGTAAACATCTTATAAGGTGTATTTGCCATCGTCATCCACTCGTATGAAAAATTTATATACATGTATCGACAATTGGTTTAGGAATACTACATCATTAGTTGGAAGTATCTTCTGGCAAGTAATAACTAATAGGTCAACATAATATGTATTATGAATATTATGATAGGAAAAGGTCTGACCATGAACAACGGTTTGCAATGTAAACACATCATATTATTATGTCCACTGTGCAAATGTCACTTGGTTTCTAGTCACCTATGTTTATGGGAATACAAAATTATTATATTTAAAACTAAAAACCAAATTGTAAAGAAGGTATTATTTGATAATTAAAATATAACCGGAAGAAAAATGTTCATCAACATAATACTATATAATATTTTATTTTATTTTTTACATCTGATAACTTTGTATTGAAAATAATATCTGTAAAACAATAATATCTTACAAAGGTATAAAATATTAATAATCTGTAAAAAATTAAATAATTAAAATTCATTATTGTAAAATAATCATGTTAAACAGCGGTTATAAGTCCTCATAATATGTGTGTATTTAGGTAAGAGATGTATAGGAGATACACTTAGCATATAAATTATCTTGCATACATATTATATAAATATTTATCAATGATTATCAAAATAGAGATGTGCTACACGCTGCCACTCTCAGGTAAAATACATTAACATTAAATTATTAACTTATTAAATAAGTTATATATATAAATATATGTCTAGGATACAATTATTCATTTTAATTAGTAGTTACAAGTACTTGTAATTAATTATAATTTTCTAGACAAGGACATGAAATTAATTTTAATTAATTAAAATTGATAACCGAAATTCGTTTTGACCATAGTTCATTAATTGAATCTAAAGTTTTATTAGTTCTCCAAATTAAAGAATTTGTATTAAGTATTGTATTTTATATCAGAGTATACAATACATAACATTTAATTTAATACAAAATGAGTATTCAAAGTCAGAATTTAAAGCGCTCAAAGATTTTAAAAAAATTACTATAAAAAATACAGCTGATATCTAATTTAGTATAACAGTGTTATTATCTTAATCACTAATTGTGCATAGGCATCAAGATGGCAAATTAATAGATATTATCCTAAGGATAGAATGACATTTAAAAATTTAATCAATTATGTACACATAATAATATAATTTGAATGGATACCAGCACCTTATGATGATAATCAAAATATTACAATATGATAAAAATGGAAACAATCAGTATGAGATACAGACAAATAATTSGAGGGAAAAACAATGATAATAAAGTAAATGGTAAATTTTAAAATATGAACAAAAATAAAATAAAATAATTTACATGGGAAATAATTCAATAACTTACAAAGTTAAAACTATGTTGGGCAGTTAAAGTTCAATACGCCACATAGTATAATTAAGCTATAATTCTTCTTTTAATAATGTGTAACGATTTTTAGAAGGTGCCAGTTTCTTAAAAGTAGATTCAGGTGGCATTGTTTGTTGAGCAGGTTGGTTATGACCATGAATTACCTCTATGGCAGAAATTTCCTGAGGACCTAAATGATATTCTCTATGTAATTTACCAGAGTACAAATCATCAATGAATGTTTTTAGATGCTCATGGTTTTTGTAATCACTATTTGCTGGAAACTGATACATGTGCTTGAAACTGTCAATGACAACTACAGGTAAATCGGTATGTCGTTTCCCCAGGTGCTGTAAAGGATGCGCAAATTTGACACCGTCAGCAGTTAAAAAGTTTACACGTTCTGAAACAATAACAAATTAAAGTTAACTCAAAGCTTTTACTATTAAAGTAAATTGACAACACTTACGTTTCTCTTGTATTAAATGTGTGCCAACAATTTCTTTGAACAGCTTAATGGACTCCAAATCATCAGGATGATAGAAAAATAGTAAGAATGGTAATCCTTCTTCAGTGATTTCTTCAGCATTCTCAAATGTTATTTCACGTACTAATGGTAAGCAATTGTCTGTAGCCCATATATTTAGCGAATCATAATCGGCTGAATTTCCTCTAAAAGTATGGTGTTCAGACTTTGGAGACGCCCGGTCAGGTCTGAATTCTATTATTGTTTCATTGGGTGGATGCATAGCACGGAATGCTTCACTAGAAATTAAAAATTATAGTTGCATTATCGATATTAAAATACAAAACGAATTAATTATAGTTACCCAACTCCAGCATAAAAAAGACAATCATCCTTAAGATTTGTTGCTACTTTTCTAAATATTTGGTATTCTTGAGAATCTTTGCTTTCAAAGTATCCAATTACAACTCTTGACTTCACCTAGGCAAAGATAAATGTAAAAAAAAGTACAGATGTAGATACTTTTATTGYATAGGTATCTTTCAAATTACATCGGCTGCAGCAAACAAGCTKGATACTTCTTGTATGGGATCTTCAAGTTGTTTTTGTACAAAAGACACAAAAGCTTCAACTGATCGCTTACCCCTATATTCTCTTTTAGCTGGTTGTCCATTAATTAATACTTTTATAGTAGGATATTTACTAATTTGAAATCTAGATGCAACAGAAGCTGAAAAAAATTGTTTTGCCATAAGTATAAAAGCTTTTAACAGCTGTGATTATATTTATATTAAATTATTTTATTGATGTAATAATTTATAATCAACCACTGCTGGTACTTACACCTGATCATATAATAATTAAAAACTACCATATGTCACAGTGAAATAATATTATGATACCAACGTAATAAGTAAATTATTAATTAAAGGCGCTACATACAATTATTGTAGAAACTAATTTTATCAACATATTTATTGTAAAACAAGTTTTCTTTGAATGGAAAATGCAAAATATCTGTATTTCTTGATTTTAATTTATTAGCTAAGCTAATGATAWTATTCTAATTGTATCTTCATATTTTAAAATTATGTACACGTATAATGATTAGTAAAATGTATAAATTTGAAGTTTTATACTGAAACTTAAATAGCATGATTTTTGAATTAAAAAAACACTAATATCTTTGCATTTAAGATTTTTTATAAGTCTTCATTTATTCTATAACCATTTGCTATATTAATCTTGAAGTAAATAAAAACATTAAAAAAATAATCACTATCCATAAATACATAACAAAAGTCTAAATATATACATACCGTGTGTTCACCAATTTAGGGAACACTGAATTTCTCGGATGGATTGTGTTGGGATAAATCGAATTTTTTTTACATGCTAGTGGTACATAAATACACATTTTCAGATAAATTTCAAATTTTTAACCCTCTCGGTACGCGCATGCACAATGCAAATTATTTTTTTTTAATAGCAACTGGTATTTTTGATACCAAATTCGGATAGACTGAATTTTTTAAATCATTTTGACCAATTAACCATGGCTCTAGAACCAAAATGGACTGAATGAGAGCTATTCAAATTTTAATAAATAATACTTTTTTAAAATTCATTATACACATAAAATATGATTTATCAGTTTATCACAGTAAATATTAAAATAAACAGAATTCAGAATACCTAATAAAAATTGATAATAATATGAACAAATTACATTTTATATTGTAATCAAACATTTTTAAATGAAGGACTAATGTGATAAGTATATTAGAGGTAATGTTATACTAATATTATACTCTGTTCCACGAAAGAAGGAACTCGATTTGCTCATCTGACTGATGCCAGTGACAGCGTGGGGTCCAATGTCTCCCACTTTTCGCTGTCTGAACGCTATGTATACAAGGAATCATGGCCGACTGCCAGCTGAACAGTAGACAATTGTAACCAAACAGACAAAAATGTTAGGGGATGCACATCGACAAACAAAAAAGGAGTTCCATCTCTCGTGGAACAGAGAATAGGTACCGAATTATATAATATGTAATTTAAATCATACAGAACATTTGTAYAGGTATTTTTATATATTTCAAAATTCATTTTTTATTAAGTTTCAATTTTGAGTCTAAATAATTGTAGTATTAAAAWAGATAGGTTCAAATGTGTAGGAAATGTTAATTTTATAGTATTACTTCATTGTACCTTAATTATATTCATAATAAAGCTTCTGAAATACATCACATTTGGAATAAAATCAACGCTTTTAAAGTTATCTTAAATTATGTACTGTWGCACACAATAAGAGAAAATTTATATTTAGTAGATAATGATAAACTTAATGATTAACGATACAATGTAATAGGTATATATATTTAAATATGCGCATATATTTAGCTATACAACTATTTTCTTTATATTTAAATTACAATAAATTGTAAGGAGAAAACAGTATAATATTTATAACATTTTAATTTCTTATCTTTAAAAAAAAAAAAAAATTAAAGTTCATAGGTAGATACTATCAGATATCTTTTTAAAATCCATTTAGTAAAAATTATCTTTAAAATGCAAGAAATTAATAATAATTAAAAAACTAACACGATTTTTCTTCATATGATTTA